CCCTCCCTAATAGTTCCCAGAGTATACTGTAGGTGAAGATACAAGCGTCCTCAGTCTGACAAGAATCTGTCTATAGGTGTAAAACAATAAAGAACTCTGCATGGAAGAAATTGCCACATGTCATTCTTGGTTTTGGGCCTCACAGGAGAACACCACTGCAAAACTCAAATAGGAAGTCCAATGAGGGGAGTTACTGGAAGAAATAAAATTACCCCCTTAAACCTCCAAAATAATAATGTGGCATAGTCATGCAAAAGTTGTAAATTGGTGGCTGTAACTGCAATTTGCTGAAGAAGCCATAATGCCTGGGTAGGCCCTCATGTTACCTCAAGCCAGGGGTAGACAACCTTGGCTCTTTTATGATTCGTGGACTTCAACTCCCAGAATTCCTGAGCCAGCCATGCTGAGGGGAAAGAGAGAGGTTTCCAAGCTGAGCCAGGCTGGCTCAGGAATTCTGGGAGTTGAAGTCCACGAGCATAAAAGAGCCAAGGTTGCCTACCCCTGTCCCAAGCCAAAACCTAATAAAACCATACTGCAGCTGAGCAGGATGTGCGTGTGGCATTGAGTGGATGTGATTACATGAATGGCTTTGTGCTGTGAATGGTCATAATTTAAGGGCTGGGAAATTTAGGAATATAGCTATAGAGGTAGTCCTCACATAATGGCCATTAATTTAGTGATTAGCAGCTGTATATTCTCAAATTTCCTAGCCCTTAAATTTACGTCATTATACAGCTACGTTCAAATTGATGTGGTTCTTTTCATAGATGAATTTTTTGGGACATCCGCCTGTCCAATTTCATTCTCTTTTTTGTGAGTTGAAAGGCTGACTTTCACACACCAATTCTTGTAGTATACAAAATGCAAAGCGTTTTATTTCACCACATAAATGGAAAGGATTAAAACAAACAAACCCCCAAACTTCTATATATTAATGTAAAAAAATCTATTTTTTTTCTCCTCTTCAAATATATACACATCTTGATACACATAAAGGAACAAACAGCTACAAGTATTCCCAGGAAAATACAAAAAAGGCATTTGACAGGATAAATGGAGAGATGATGAAACAAAATGATGCAGTTATGGGTACACTATATACCACCAAAACGAGTTCAAATAGAAATATACATCTAATTAAGATGGGTAAATTTCAAACAATCGAAAATATTCGAAACATTAGCTTACCCCCACCAAGCAACAGTTAGTCATGACTAAAGCTACTATCCTATGTACAATTTCTTGGGGAAAAAAACATTCAGTTTTGTGATACTTCCTCCTGAGAGAATAGAAATATAACTGTAGTGTGTATCCCTTTGCACACAGATTCCAGAGAATCACTTTATGTATGAAAGAGCTTTTCTGACTTAGTATGTGATATTTGAAAAAGACGCATCAACTAAAATTCAGAAGTGCATCACAATGCACCAACTTTCGCACAGGTTTCACAAGTAGGGCTATTATCTCTAGGCTGCAAAAGTCCAGATGAACACTAGAAGGAAGTAAAGAGATACATAAAACCTACTGCTTGCTGCATCTAGTTCTCTCAATTTTTACAGCCCAAGTATGGTGGTCTATTCAAGTTGTCTGCTAAATCAGAGTTCCCCAGCCTTTCAGCGATGGCGGTCTGGAGCAGTGGGGACGGGGAAAAAGGGGATGGTTTTGTGGGAGGGGTAAATGTGCTCACCTGTTGCTTATGAGTGGGATCACTAGTGCCCACAACACTCACAGCAACACTTGCGCGAATGGGGCTGCAAACCCTGTGACACTCGCAGCTACGCTCGTGCAAGTGGGGCTGTGCACACATGCTGCACCAACCAGCCACTCACGCAGCCCAATGGCCAATAGGCCGCAGCCCAAAAAGTGGGCTACGGCCCACAGGTTGGGGACCCCTGTGCTAAAACATAACACCACACAATCTTTTGCACTTTCTGATAATATCAGATAATAGCTCTGTTTGGTTTTAATAATGCATGTTTTACATACCAAGCCACTGTGGCTTATAAGTCATGGTTTATAGCTTGCAACATCAGCATCCAGACACTCCAACAAACCATGATTACTACTGTGCATGAACTTTGCCATTGTTTTTCAGTGTCAGAATTTCTTCCAATTGCATAAATCTGGATGCAATCAGTTTAAAGGATAGGCCATTCTATACAAGCCAAGTTGTGAATGAACCCTACAAATCTCAAGGGAAACTCTAAGCAAAAATGAGTAAGACTGAGCTGCACAAAGGTAACTTCTGAAGAAAGCAGGTTCAACAGATTGCTGTCACTTATGTTTTATCTTGGGGTTTTTTTTCTGATAACAGATGCCTCCAAAAGCATAGGATAGGGGTAGGCAACCTTGGCTCTTTTATGACTCATGGACTTCCAACTCCCAGAATTCCTGAGCCAGCCATGAGGTTTCCAAGCCAGCTAGAGGTTTCCAAGCTGAGCAATGCTGGCTCAGGAATTCTGGGAGTTGAAGTCCACGAGTCATAAAAGAGCCAAGGTTGCCTACCCTGGTTTTAGGACATGTTGAAGACATTGGGTGTTCCCGTTTCTGCAACTTTTTACAATTTTGAAAGAGGCTTGATGAATTCATTACCTAACAAAATATATTTATTGCTTAAGACATTAAACGATATTGTGTTGGAGGCTAAAAAGAAAATCGACTGTCCTTCTGTCTCCTTTCCACTAAGATATTGGGGCTCAGCAGTTTATTGCATGGGTTGCCTCTCAGGAGTTGCCTGTGAGATCCAACGCAGATGGCAGCCGGGCATGTGCCCGGATGCCATGACTAACTTCCAGGACATTTTTGGGAGTGGCATCTTTATCATGGAATCACAGGAGAAAACAGAAACCCACACACTGATTTCCTGACTCTTCTCTTTTAGTTTGGAAAAGTGCATCTTTCCCACCACCCTTTTATACAGTACAGTATCTACAATCAGGTCACCTCAAGTCTCCAGGAGAAAGAAAACAAACAAGTGTATACAAAGAGCAGGGCCGAGTCCCCAGTTGGGATGATCTGGAGGATGTGGAATGGCAGCTGGTCCTTACGAGGAACCAGCATCAATTCTTTTTTTTCAGTTCAGCCCATGAACACATCCAGCCCAAAGTCCAGTCGATGCCACATCAAATCTGGCCAGTCTCCGTTCCTTCCTCTTTTTCTTGTCCACTCTTGAGAACAGCTAGGACCAGATATCTCCTGGCCAACCATGGATTCGTGAAGTATCCATGAAGCCACGCCTTTCTTCCAGCTTCTTCAAACATCCAGTGCTTAATTAATCCCAGTGTGCTTGGACCAAGCGGTCCCCGTTATTTTGCCAGTGTTAGTCCATGAATCTAAAGCTGAAAATGCAGCCCCCTCAGATGGAGTCTGTCAAAGGCAAAAAGTATTCCCATTGACACGTGCAGACTTTCACAGAAAAGTTCAGAAAAATAGAGAGGGAGAGGGAGAAAAAGAGAGACAGAGAGATTTTCTGGAGAAAGACATCACACACAAACAGTGCAACAGTACAGAGGTCTCCAAGGTTAACAGCCTAACCCTCCACCATACAAGGGGAGAGGAATATCCAGTATGCAACACATCCCACCAATGCTAGTGAATTACAGTACAAGGTAGCTTTCCCTTAATTTTTTGCCTACCCAGGGTTGTGACAGAATACAACTCCCATGTTCCCAGACAAGCCTCCAGACCAACCATTTTTACGTAAGGTCCGTAGACAGCTTTGGAGATCATGTTATGCAGATTGCTGCCCATGAACCCAATTCTTAACCACAAAAGGTATGTGTTCATCTCAGTTTGAAATCATATTCTGGAAGGAAGGAGGAGGGAGGGAGGGAGGGAGGGAGGGAGGAAGGAAGGAAGGAAGGAAGGAAGGAAGGAAGGAAGGAAGGAAGGAAGGAAGGAAGGAAGGAAGGAAGGAAGGAAGGAAGGAAGGAAAGAAGGAAAGTTTTCAACAGTGGATGGAGCAATCACCCCAACTTTGCTTATAAATCCAGTGTGATGTCTCTGTTAAGATCCTATTAAAGAGCATTCAAATACCCCCAAATCTAATGTGGCAAGCTAAAGGAGTGTGTGGAGGAGAAGGGGGAGAGTGCTACCCCACAATTACTTTGGAGTGTCAAAGGAAAGGTTTGCAGGGTATGGAAAAAAGGAGCGTTGATATTCAACGTGGCAACACGCGCATATTGTACTGTCCTTGATTGTTCAAAATGTTTACTGCAGCCATCCTTACAGACTCCCTGTCAACCTTGAATTGCTAAGATGCTTGCTGACCTCTATCACTACTCAATTTGCCATAGAAACGGGGGAGGGGAAGCCTGGGAAAGAAACAGGAATTTCAAGAAGCCATCCACGGCCCATGAGACCCAAGGCCCAAGGCCACAAAAGCAGGTATCTGACGGTAAAGTGGACTATTCCCATATCAAAACTAAAGAGATGTGATTGGGGCTATGAAAAGCTATTGTTAACTAACCAGATTTTCGCATGGGAAAACTTAAGAGCTGATTTTTCTTCTTCAGTACCGAAATCTGTATTCAATAAAGTTTATCTTTTATGGCACCTCAAAGCCGTAAAGTTTCCTCAATGTTGAATTTGCTAGCCGGACGGTTGATACTCCTGCTAAGCAAGCTAGCATTCATATTCTCTCCTCATGTTCTCAAGAAAGGGCTGAAATCGAGGGCTACTTAGGGATGGGTCTGAGGTAAAATTGGGAAGGATGTCTTTTACATTTACAGTCCCCTGGAGAAGACCAGCAGCTCACAGAGCTGCTAGCGTTGAATGGAAGTGAAGGACATGATTAGCCCAATCAGAACATTACACTGTGCCTGGTTTGGTGCTGACGGAAGGAAAACAGAGAAAGAGGGGTTGAGGAAATACCTTAGCCCAGTGTTTCTCAACCTTGACAATTTTAAGGCATGTGGACTTCAACTCCCAGAATTCCACAGCCAGCAATGCTGGCTGTGGAATTCTGGGAGTTGAAGTCCACATGCCTTAAAATTGTCAAGGTTGAGAAACACTGCCTGAGCCACTAACCCTGCTTCCTTAGCTCACCCTGAAAACCTGGAGATCAAAAGACAGACGAAAGACCTAGAATGATGCAAGAAAAAAAAAACATTTGGAAGAACCAAGTAATGAAATATTTGTTCAAATTATGGCCAGATGAATTGGGCTACGTTTGACCGAGCAGCTTCCTTGCCTGAGTGTCTCCCAGATGTGTTAAGACTGGAACTGAGACTTTCTGGTCAACATGATGATCTCTGGCTGCAGGCAATCTCATGTTCTCCAGATGTTTTGGACTTACAACTGTCCTTTGCTGCAAATGTTCTTGATGGAATTTGGAACAGCCTAGACACATGGAGGGCCCTTGACTCCTTACTCTGGGGTTGATAAATACTAAAAAAAAAACCTTTGAGAAATGTAGTTTCTAGACACACCAGGAAGGCACCAAGTTGGTTTAAAGCTGAAACAGACCGGTTTAGGACAAGGAGAAATATGAGTTAACACAGTGGGTAAGAATCTCAGAATAACAGTTTTGAATCATGTGATGGAATAAGTTAATTAGAGATGACCAGGCAAAAAAGAAAACAAGGGTAGAAAGAAAACTACACATTGGAGGGTGAACGGTGAGATTTGGATGAGCAAAGGCTCGGCCAGAGTGAACAACCAGATGTCCCACAAAAATGCTACCGAGCATGAGGGCCTCTGAGCCACATCCAGTCTCCAGCAGTCTCTATGGTGCTGTCCAACTTCTTAACACAGCCTCCGATTGGCCAGTGCTGGTCTGGTTCACACCATATTGAGGGCATCCTCAGCCAGGAAGCAGTGCAGGTGTTGGAACAATGGGCGATCCTTGGCCTCTCGTGTCCAGCATCTCAGCATCATCTCGTAGACAGCCAAGGGGCAGGCAGGTGGACGGCAGAGATAGATCTGAAGATGGAGGAAAAGGCACTGTGACATCGCTCTGAGGTGAGCAGGCCCAAGACAGAGCCTGGATTTTTTTAAAAACAGAGCTTACTCCTCTTAAAGACTCAAGGTCTTGGTGGCGCAGTGGTTAGAAGGCGGTATTGCAGGCTAACTCTGCCCACAGTCTGGAGTTTGATCCTGATGGGGCTCAAGATTATTTTAGAACATGGGATAATTTCTATCAAAAGCTAGAAAGGTGAGTTAGAGAGAAAGGAATGTGATATGTAACTTTGAATATATATTAGTAAGAAGATGAGTATCGAGTGATTAAATTAACATATTGTTTATGATAATTAACTATTATCTATTATTTATTGTTAAACACATGAACCCAGATATTATGCAGTTTGCTAAATATTGAGAATGTTATTTGAAAAAACCCTAACCCTAACCCTAACCCTATCCCAAATCCCAATCCCAATCCCATCTCATTCCTAACCCTATAAAAACTAATAAAATTTATTACAAAAAGAAAAAGATTAATTCAGCCTTCCATCCTTCCAAGGTCGGTAAGCAAGGACTCAGATTATTGGGGGGTTAGGGTGAGTCCTAGTCTAATGTATAATGATGATGATGATAATGATAGAAAGGATCTTGGTGGTCATCTAATCCAACCCTATACCATTTCAGACAAAAGGCTGTCCAGTCTCTTCTTAAAAACTTCCAGTGTTGGAGCATTCACAGCTTCTGGAGGCAGGTTGTTCCACTGATTAATTGTTCTGTCAGGAAATATTATATAAACTTTATATAATAGGCATCTTATGTTGAACAGGCATATTGTTACCTGTTTGCCCTGATGCCGAAAAAACTCGCCGGCATTCTCGATTACAGCTTCATCCGTGAGCTGGCTGTATGGCTGTTCCTGGCACAGCATGAGGATCTCCCAGAGCGTAACGCCAAATGCCCAAACATCGCTGGCCATGGTGAATTTGCCCTGGGGGGGGGGGGAGGTGGGACAGAAAGACAACATTCGTGGATTCGTTAAATCAGCTTTACAACATGCTTCAACCTTGAGGGTCTGGTCAGGGCAAGCCAGAAAACCAAATCGAAAACACAAAATCCCACGTAAAAACCATTGCAACAGGTCCTGCCACTCAACCCCTCAAAGGGATTGGAAGTACTGCTTCCATTTTTTTTCTGGAAGGTCTAACCCAGGGCTCTTCAAACTTGGCCCTTTTATGACTTGCGGACTTCAACTCCCAGAATTCCTCAGCCAGCATAGCTGGCTGAGGAATTCTGGGAGTTGAAGTCCACAAGTCATAAAAGGGCCAAGTGTGAAGAGCCCTGGTCTAACCAGATCTTAACTCTGCAAGAAGACTATAACTTTATTAAGATAGGCTATAATCAGAGAATACTGCAAGTCTGATTGTGTTTTTCTTCCTCTTTCTCTTATACCGACAGTGACCACATGTCCTTTATTATAAAAGGACAGTGCTTGCTTTCAGAAAGCTGTCCTTTAGATTTACCTATTCCTTTTTCTTGCTTCTGCTCTTGTTCCTTTGCAAAGCAAAGTTATAAACATAAGCATTTTTTAAAAACTCCTAATGAATCTTTTTCAGGTTTGCCCCTTTTTTCGGGTCTATCCTGAAAAACCGGAGAGCCGGTTTGATCTAGTGCAGTGGTTCTCAACCTTTTTAATGCCGCGACTTCTAACCGGTCGTAAGTCGAGGACTACTCAAGTGGTCGTAAGTCGAGGACTGCTCAACTGGTGCAGCACCGTTTGCAGAATGGGACTTTTGGCGGGCTCAGCAGGGCAGAGACAGCCTGGACAATTCCTATTGTCTTTTGAAAGCTAATAGAATTAGACTCTATTCAAGAGAGTCTATTCTATTGGCTTTGAAAAGCCAATAGAATAAAAGGGAGTAGCACAGCTAAGGAAAAGGGGGAAAAAAATGGCGGACTGCGTTGTTTGACGACCCCCGTGAAATGGTCGTTCGACCCCAAATGGGGTCCCGACCCACAGGTTGAGAACCACTGATCTAGTGGCTAAGGCACCAGGCTAGAAAGCCAATGACCCCGAGTTCAAATCCTGACTTAGCCGTGGAAGCCAACCGGGTAACTCTGGGCCAGTCCCCCCCTCTCTCAGCCCAACCCATCTCCCAGGGTTGTCATACTGGGAAAAAACAGGAGGAGCAAGGTACGTTAAGATATGTTTGCTACCTTGAGTTATTTGTAAAAATAATAAAGGTGGGATCTAAGTAATTAGATAGACCACTGTCCTTATATCCCAGGGAGGAACTGGCCTTAATCCCTTCCTAACAGTTTCACCTTTCCCAGGGCTTAAGGAGGATTCTGACCTTTCTGTTTTTGCAACTTCACTTCCGCTGTAGTCACTAAGCAAATCACTTGCGGTCACTAAGCAAAACTCCAGAGGACAGTATCTTGTGATACCGTTGACTTTGCTTGTGCAAAGCTGGCTGGGAAGGCTGCATATGCCAATCATGTGATCATGGGACACCGTAACCATCGTAAACACCCACCCCTTGCAAAGGTCCCGGAATCCCAATCACGTGACCTTGGGGATACCGCAAGGATCCGTTCTAAAGATACCTTTTTCATCAGCACCACGACTTCAAACCGTCGCTCATCAGGACAGTCCTGAAGCGAGGACTGCCTGCAGTTGAAGCTCGTCGCTTCACACACTCACCATGAGAATGCACTCCCAAGCCATCCAGCGGATCGGGAGCACGGCTCGGCCCTGGATGCGATAATAATCTCCAGCATAGAGATTCCGGCTCATGCCGAAGTCGGCGATCTTGATGGTGAAGCCTTCGCCCACCAGGCAGTTTCGGGTTGCCAAGTCCCGGTGCACAAAATTGAGGGAGGCAAGGAACGCCATCCCTGAGGCTATCTGAGCCCCTAGATGGACCAGAGTGGGATAGCTGAGAAGTAGGAAAAAAGAAGAAAAAAAAGATGGTAGGAATGTTTATTTGGAAAATGTGCATCTCACTCTCCTGCCTCCCTACAGGAGCAAAGCACAGAAGATATTCCCATCAGGCAGTGGGGCAGCGCTTGGTACTTAAACCACGCAAGCTAAAATGCAAGATAAAGTGAAGTCATCTCAAGATCTTAATGACCCACTAAATTCAGTGGAACATTGATCATCTCATGTTCTCAACCTTCTTCCTGTTTAACCGAGCGCTTCCATCTCTGGAATTTTTTTCAGGATTTCCAAGCTAAAATCCATCTTGTTCGGTTTCAAATGCTTCTTTGGAAAAATAGACTCCAACAGCCATTTCTGTACTCTTTAGAGATGGTCAACAGCATTCATGCAGCGGTTTAAGAGTCAGCTGGCCATATGTATTACCTTTCTATAGTCTTTTTTTTTTTACAGTATAGTGACATCTAACAAACTGGGAATTGTGACCAACACTTCAACAAGAATTATGTGATTCTGTTCTGTGGCATCTTGGTGACCATTTTGAGGAAAAAGGAGTAACATCACCGGAAACTGCTGTAATTAATTTGAAGAAAAAAAAAGTTTTGGGGAAGTAGATGAAAAGGCCTGATACAGCATAGAAAATGGGATTAAACATAAAATGGTGAAGTAATTGAGAATGAAAGTGACATGAGAAAATGTTGGAAGAGATTTAAAGGTGATTTGTGTGAGAACAACAGGGATGCAGTAAAGAAGGAAACTGAAATGAATTATTATAAATGTTAATATCCAGGATTGTCAGTATTTCCTCCCAAATACCTGATTGTTGGTCTCCCACTGGGGCTGCCACCCATCTTGTCTTCCAGCTCATGGCCACTCAGGAATTGGTTGAGGTCCCCATTTTCCATGTACTCGGTGATCATACACAACGGATCGTCCCGCACACACACACCCAGCAATCTCACAATGTTAGGGTCCTTCAGGCGAGACATGATCTTCACCTCTTTCAGGAAATCATTCCTGCATGGACACAAGAGAAGACACGGACAGGCGGATGAAGAAGGTGACAGGTCTCAAGAAAGGACATCTGGACTCTAATTGTTTATTCGTTCCCATTTTTCCCCAACTATAAAAATCCCCATCAAAGCAGTGTGGCTGTTTGTAATATAGAATACAGTCTTCGTATGAATGAAAACTTATTGACTGTGTGCCATCAAATTGGTGTCAACTCTTAGCAACCATAAAAGATAAGACTTCCCCCTGATGATCTGCCCCTAACCTGGTTATCCAGGTGTGGTTATGATGTCCCCGTTACCATTGTAACATTGTCCAGTTCTTTCCTTTCCTTCCACTTACGGTGAAGCAATTGAGGCTGTTCGAATGTTTTGAAATGCTTCCTCCCACTTTCTCCTCCACACCTGGGCTAGGCTCCCTTTTGTGAAATTAAGCTGCTGTCAGGTTCCTGCAATGCTATCTTTTTTATTGTTTATGTTTGAGTTTTCTCCCATTCGTTTCTCATCTTTCTGACAATCTCTTCCTAACGTTACAGCTAGTCCTGAACTTACCGCCACAACTGGAAACTTCCCTCCCTAAGCAATCTGGTTACCTAAGTGAGATGAGCCCGATTTGATGACACTTTTGCTGCAATTGTTAGCGAATCGCACACAGTCATTAAACAAGTCCAGCTTCCCCCACTGACTTTGCTTGTCGGAATCTGGCTGGGAAAGTCGTAATGGTGGTTGTGTCAGCCTGGGATGCTGCAACTGTTGTAAATACATGCCAATAAATACCAAGCACCCAAATCACAGTCATGTGACTGTGGGGACACTGTGACAGTCATAAATGCGAGGACCCGGCATAAGTCGCTTTTTCAGTGCTGTCGTAACTTTGAACAATCACTAAATTGACTCAAATGAGCCGAGGTGGCGCAGCAGTTAGAGTGCAGTACTGCAGGCCACTTTAGCTGACTGTGTTTAGCAGGTCAGCGGTTCAAATCTCACCGGCTCAAGGTTGACTCAGCCTTCCATCCTTCCGGGGTAGGTAAAATGAGGACCCAGATTGTTGGGGGCAATATAAATATATATATATACATTGCTTACTGGTGTACACCGCTTAGAGAGTGCTTGCACTTAAAGCGGTATATAAGTCTCATAAATAAATAAATAAATAAACGAATGGTCAAAAGTCAAGGACTACCTGTGTTTAAGCAGACATGCTTAAACAGCCATGAAAGCTAAATTCTGCACTGGTGTAAAAGTTACTGCTAGGGAATTATCGGGGCGAATGCTGCCTTAAGGACATTTATGGCGGCATGGAAAAACCCAAATGGAAAAGACAAGAGACAGCAACACAAAACAATAATTCTTACTTTCAGATTCAGAGGTTTATTTTGCTAATAATTTGGAACATAGCATAATAACATTACATCACTTGCATTAACAGCCATTGCAATGAGGACCATGTGGTATAGCAGTGATGGCGAACCTTTTAGAGACTGAGTGCCCCAAAACTGGCCCTGCCCCAAGTCCACCCCCTGCCCTGCCCCCACCCCGCCTGCCTGCAGGGCCACTCACCGCCTCCAGGGCCTGCCGCAGATCACCCAGGCAGCCCAGCAGCACCATGGTGGCCACGCCCTCTGCCCACGCCCCGCATCATCAACTGTGCGTGATGGGGTGTGAGGGCAGAGTCTTGTTATGCTGCCTGGCTGCCATGTCCTTGGCTGTGCTGCTCTGCGTGGGCCACGCTCGGGGGCGACTCTCCTCCAGTGGGGCTGCTGGTGAGGAGGGGGTCATGGGAGGAGGCAAGGCTGGGGCAACGGCACGTGGGCCCACAGAGAGGGCTCCGAGTGTCACCTTTGACACTCGTGCCATAGATTCGCCACCACTGATATAGCAGATTCCAAAAAGGACAGCTATAGGCCAATGGCCCCGAGCTAGACTTAAACTACATTTTTATACCTTTCTTCTAACAACCACCCACAGATAGTCATTATCTTGCAAAATCAGTTCCTTATTCTTTCGTGCTGACCAGCAGTTTCCACATATACCTGTGTACATCTGAAACCTCTATCCATCGGTTACTTTCAACATAATTCTTTCAAATTACCTGCTAGGCAAGACCCAAATGGAAAATCTTGAGCAGATAAATAAGCGAGGAGCTCAAATGAATGCAAATGCAGCTCTGCTTTCTTAAGAGTCAGCACCCCCAAACAAATTTCACTGAGAAGTATGAGCAAAGCTAGGGCTAATATAACATTTCCAACAGGTGAATAAAGATTAAGTCCACCAAGGCATAGTTGATAACATGCCATTGTGGATATTTGTGCCAACTTTCACCTGGAGTGAATCAAGTTAGAAAAACATAGCATAACGCATCATTCCTGAACAGCTTTCTGATATGTGGGGTTCAACCCCAGAAGTCTTAGCAATGGACAAGCAGGTTAAAAAGGTCTGGGGGGGGGGCGGGTTTCAGCATGCTGAAGAATAGTCAGGTTGGAAAAATGTATACAGCGGGTTGTTCTTTAACAATGCATACCTTTATTTCCATCCTCAGGCACACTCACCTGGCATTCTTGGTGGCATCCGAGCGTAGAATCTTCACAGCAACCAGCAGAGGGCGCCCCTTGCGCACGTTGAAAGGGAATTCCAAGCTTAGTAGATCTTGAGGGTTCTCCACCTCACACAGGTGGACCTTTGGGGGGGGGGGAGAGAGAGAGGAAACAGGGAATCATTATGGAATCACAAAGGACACAGTGAATAAATGCACAGTGACTGCAATAAGGCCTTGCTCTCCACCGTGGCGACTTGAAGATGTATGGCAGTGGTTCTCAACCTTTTTAATGCCGTGACCCCAACCGGTCGTAAGTTGAGGACTACTCAACCGGTCGTAAGTCGAGGACTACTCAACTGGTGCAGCACCGTTTGCAGAATGGGACTTTTGGCGGGCTCAGCAGGGCAGAGACAGCCTGGACAATTCCTATTGGCTTTTGAAAGCCAATAGAATTAGACTCTATTCAAGAGAGTCTATTCTATTGGCTTTCAAAAGCCAATAGAATAAAAGGGAGTAGCACAGCTAAGGAAAAGGGGGAAAAAATGGCAGACTGCGTTGTTTGGCGACCCCCGTGAAATGGTCGTTCGACCCCAAATGGGGTCCCGACCCACAGGTTGAGAACCGCTGATGTATGGACTTCAACTCCCAGAATTCTCCAGTCAGCTAACACAAATTTTGGAGGAAATGTTCCAGTTGGCCAAAATCCATCTGCCACATGTTTCTTTCTAACGTGTGGCAGGGTGATGGAATGTAATACAGGCAAGTCCTCAACTTATTTATGAGTTTGTGTTGCTAAGTGAGAAATCTGTTAAGTGAGTTTTGCCCCATTTTACAACTTTTCTGGCCACCTTTGTTAATCACTGCAGTTGTTAAATTAGTAACACGGTTGTTAAGTGAACCTGCTTTCCCCCTGGACTTTGCTCGTCAGTAGGACACAACAGGGGACGACCCCATGACCCCAGGACACTGCAACCGTCGTAAATATGAACCAGTTTTCAAGCATCCGAATGTAAATCATGTGATTGTGGGGACGCTGCGAAAGTCCGTAAGTGTGAAAAGCGGTCATAAGTCACTTTTTTCGGTGCTGCTTAACTTCGAATGGTCACTAAATGAACTGTTGTAAGTCAAGGACCACTGTAAGGAGCAGATTCCAGGGGGGAGGGGGCGCATTCCTGAGGCGTAAGAGGCAGGCAGCACACAAAACCATGCCCCCTCTGGACCGCAGAAAAATGTCTCTCCATTATAACCCGGTCCCTAGTACCCAAAAGGTTGGAGAACTCTGCTCTACTACTTTACCTCACTGGAAATGTATGATGATGATGATGATGATGATGATGATGATGATGATGATGATAATAATAATAATAATAATAATAATAATAATAATAATAATAATAATAATAATAATAATAATAATAATAAAAAAAACTGCTCTGGGACTTCAAAATTCAAACAGACAAGCACCTGCAACATAACACCCCAGACTTAACAGTTGTCGATAAGAAAGACAAAAAAGTCTGGATAGTGGACGTGGCAGTGCCTGGAGATAGCAGAATAGAAGAGAAAGAACTGGAGAAGATAACAAAATACAAAGACCTACAAATAGAAATAGAAAGAGTGTGGCAAAAGCAAGCAAGGGTAGTACCAATAGTCATAGGCTCCTTGGGTGCAATCCCAAAACAACTGGAGCACCTCTTGAACACCATTGGCATTGACAAATTCGCTATTAGTCAATAGCAAAAGGCAGCCTTACTAGAAACTGCTTCCATTCTGCGACGATACCTGTAATACCATCAAACATCCACATCTGCCTATCCCAGGTCCTGGGTAAGGACTTGATAGGTAGACAAAATGCCAAATCCAGTCTGAACATCTGGCTGACTGTGCGATGATCGATAATAATAATAATAAAAAAAATAAAGTTGGAGGGACCTTGGAGGTCATCTAGTCCAACCCCCTGCTCAGGCAGGAAACCCTATACCATTTCAGACAAACGGCTGTCCAGTCTCTTCTTAAAAACTTCCAGTGTTGGAGCATTCACCACTTCTGGAGGCAGGTTGTTCCACTGGTTAATTGTTCTAACTGTCAGGAAGTTCTAAGTTGCTTCTCTCCTTGACTAATTTCCATCCGTTGCTTCTTGTCCTGCCTTCAGGCGCTTTGGAAAATAGCTTGACTTCCTCTTCTTTGTGGCAGCCCCTGAGATACTGGAACACGGCTATCATGTGTCCCCCCCCCGCCCTTCTCTTTGTTAAACTAGACATACCCAATTCTAGCAACCGTTCTTATATGTTTTAGCCTCCAGTCCCCTAATCATCTTTATTGCTCTTCTCTGTACTCTTTCTAGAGTCTCAGCCTCTTTTTTACATTGTGGTGACCAAAACTGGATGCAGTATTCCAAGTGTGGCCTTACCAAGGCATTGTAAAATGGTATTAATATTAATATTAATGTGTCATGGTTTCCACAGATGACTCTTCAAAGAACTTCGAAGCAGATCTACCGCAGTCCAGATAACAGTATTTCCTCTACTTTCAGGTTGTTTGTCCATCGATTTCGACGAAGACCTTGACATCTTGTGGGTTATGGGCCATCAACGATGTGTCCGTAGGTGGCTAATAAGACCGATGTTAGCACAGAATGTTCTGCCACATACTGAACAAAGAAAAGTAGACACTGTTACTTCAGCATTTACAGCTCTGGCTTTGCAGAGTGCTCGCTTCTCTTGTGCCAAGATTGTCCTTCTGTGTTCATATGTCTGGCAACCCTGGTACACCAAGGTGCGCCATGTTGGTCGATCATGCACCAGAAGTTTCCAAGAGATCCAGGGACTTGAGAGAGGCTTTCAACATGTCTTTGTATCGCTTCTTTTGTCCCCCATGCGATTGCTTTCCTTGAGACAGCTCACCATAGAAGAGCTGTTTAGGGATGCGATGATCTGGCATCCTTACAACATGGCCTGCCCAGCGCATCTGGGCTTTCATCAACAGAGTGTAAACTGATGAGTGTAAACTTTCAGGTAGGTCTATATGAAATCCATAGCAATTTCTTCCCATGATTGAGAAGGTTTCCCACTGGCTGGAGTAACCCAGGGGGTTTCCCTGGAATTCTTTTTTTTTTTAACCTTAAAGAATCTTTATTTGAGAAACATAGTATCGACTAACACAACCCAAGCCAAAAACTGGATTCCCCTCCCCTGAGCCCATAGTATCAAAGTACAATTCCCTCCTCCAACTAACAGTCATAAGTCACATTCCCCAATTAGTTTGAAATGCAGGCTCTCCCTCCAGTTCTCCAGCCCCCCAATCCTTATCATCTCTTATGTCATTAACCTTGGTTCACACACTAAGTCCAGTATTATTATATCTATCTAAACTCTCATGCACATTCTTCGCCCGCCCCCCAGCATCATCTAACTCTAAAAGTAAAACATAAGAAGAAAATGGTTGCATCTCTAACTGTTGTCAAAGCAAAAACATCCGATGTTAGCAGCGTTGACAGTATGTCTCACTTTTTCACTTATAGCCTTCTCTGCCACAGGTTGTCCTGGGCTTACCTCTCCAAACTGCCCTTCACCTAGCTTCTCCTTGAAGATCAGCCGTTCCCGGGGAAATTCACCCACTGCCATGTCCTTGCCAGCAAGGGCATCCACCGCGACAGCAGGGACAGCGTATGTGTTCCCCCCAGTCACTCCCTGCAGGTTGATGATGTCGGCTTCGGCGTAATGTGGCACGCTGTTCTGGAAAATTGGCTGGCTGGCAGCCAGTTCTGGTTCCGTGTAGTCGATCCCGCAGGCTGCCGAAGAAGAAGAAAAGACGAAAGAAAAAAAGAATCACTTCAGAGATTGGTGGAGAAAGGGACATGGAGGAACCTGCCCAACCCCCAAATGTGCTGCAACTCTAGGCACCCAGCGGCCCTCAGAGGCAGATGGAGCTCTACTTTGGACACAAGGAGCCCAGGTAACATCCAACCCCATCCCCGCTCTCCCTCCCCCACTCCAGAAGCCGCAGCATCGCAGAACCTGCAAAGCGGAAGGTGAAATGTTGGTCTTAGCCATGCACAGGGCCGACAAGAGGGAGATGAACGGGGAGGGGGAAGGGGGAGACAGACATGGCGAAGAAAGAGAGAGGGAGACAGATGGGCAGACAGCACCCCCTGGCAGGAGGGAGAGGAACTGCAGAAGGCAGGATGTTCTGAGCAGGGTAAGTGAGGCCACCCGGGTTCCCAGCCGCACCGCACAAGCTCAGCGCCCTCCTTACCATTGGTGTTGATTGGCTTAACCTGGCTGGGTGGCGGGAAAGCAGGCCTTCCCATTGGCTGGGCATAGGTGGCCAGGAGGAGGTGGTAAGCCGGGTTGCTGAGCAGCAGAGCTGTCGGGAGAAGGGGGAGGGAGGGAGGGAGGGAGGGGGGTGGGAGAGATGGGGTGGTGGTGGTGGTAGTGGAGAGGACGAACGGACGGATGAGGAACGGACAGACGGATGGAGAGATGGATACGAAAGGTAAGGTGTGACGCAGAAAACAGGCAGCACTTTAGGGATTCCTGCCCCTCTTTTAAGCTTCACATCCCAAACAGGGTAGCAAGAGACGCAGACACCAAATGACATGCGGTTTAATGATGGGAACCAGCCCTCATTAGTATCTTTGGACAGAAGAAAGCGACCCAGAATCCTGACATTTCCAAACGGCCTCCAGATTGATGGCAGGCCTAAGCCCAAAGAAGACCGGTAACAGCCAACTGAGTCCAGCTCTTTATTTGCTTACGCCTAACCGACAGAATCTTGCCAAACTAAAGCTCTCTACAAGTAGTCCTTGATTTGCAACCATTTGTTTCGTGAGTTACAACCGTACTGAAAAAAGTGACTTGCAACTGGTCTTCACACTTATGACCATCACAGCATACCCACGGGCAACCAGCATGTATTCACGACAGTTGCAATGTCCCGGGTCATGTGATCGCTACTTGCAACTTCCCAGCTGGCTTTGACAAGCAAAACTCAATAGGGAAAGTCAGATTCGCTAACAACGGCATGATTCATTTAACAACTTCAGCGATTGGTTTAACCATGACAAAAAAAGTGTTGTAAAACCGAACGCAGCTCCCTTAACAACCCCCTTGCTTGACAATGGATTCCCAACTTGATCAAAATTTCGAGGACTATCTGTAACTTTCTCACCTATATCTGGGAGGTAAGAGGGCAGGGATGTCCAATCTTAGCAACTTTAAAACTTGTGGGCTTCAATTCCCAGAATTCCTCAGCCAGTCCACAAGTCTTAAAAGTTGCCAAAGTTGACTACCTCTGTTCTATGGTATGGTTACCCTGAACTTTTTCCTCCCTCCCATATCCAGTTCAGGACTGAGCAGTCTCTTATTTTGGGTCTCTTTCTGGAATGGGTCACCTCCGCCCTGGGAAGCTGCTGTATAATAATAATAATGAAGTTGGAAGGGACCTTGGAGGTCATTTAGTCCAACCCCCTGCTCAGGCAGGAAACCCTTCGTGTGACTGGTGACTCCTTCTCTAGCTGCACATCCCATCACACCTGCTTCTGTCTTCTTCAAAGGAATCAACCAAGGCTGGACTTCCTCCTCCGGCTCTGTCCAGATGTACCAGGCTACAGGTCCCCACTAACCCCAGCTCAGGATAATGGACGGTCGTAAGTGCAAGAACCAGTTTTAAGTGCAAGGACTTTTTCCAATATCGTCATAGGGAACGGTTGCTAAACAAATGGCTGTAAGCCGAGGACAACCTGTAATTCTTAATTTTCTCTTTTACTTCCCTTACCTGCCTTCCCTATTCAAATTTAAGCAAACCTACTCGCTTAGAAGAATTTTAAAAAAAGAATTAAAAAAATCTTTCCTGAGATTTTTTTTCATTTCAGACAGGAAAATTGGCATTGTGTTACTGAATGCTCTTTCAAGAAAAAAAGATACAAAGGTTCTTCCTTGCACTTAGAAAACTAAGCACATCCAGAAGAATCCAGGTTTTCTTGAGTGCTAGTTCTCCAGTTTCTTTGACATTAAAAAAAAAGGGGGGGGGGTTGAAAAAGCAGACCATATAAATCAGCATAATTTAGGAGCAGGCTATAACTCGATTTTGCTAGAAATATAGAGCACCCTTTTAAATGAAGCAGACCACTAACAAAGCATCCCAGTTAATTGACTGCTTCCTTCTTTCCTTTCTCGAGTCACAATTCCCAGTTTGCAGTTTACAGCAAAAGCCCACTTTTTGATATTTTTGATACAAGCAAGGAGATACAAACACACACACGCACGCACACACACACACACACACACACACAATGCACAACAATAGGGGCTTTGGAGGAAGAAATGGTGAACTGAAGATGGCTCCATTAAAAGTGGAGCTGTCAAGCGGAATGGAGTGCAGAGCCAGCAAATAGACCGGCTCTTTGTAAATACTCTCCAGACAAGGAGAGGACTTGAGATCACCCACAAGCGCTCTTTACAACTGCTCCTTACAAGGAGAGCGCAAGACAGCGGTCTCCATAGTTTTAGTGTTCTGGGAGACAAGGAAACAGCCATCTAGCTTAAATCACATTCAGCACCTTCAAAAGGACACTGGATCTGCATGCTTCTTTTTCCAATCAATTTTGGAAATTTTTAACCACTTTTCATCTATCAGTAATCTTTGAATCTACACGTTTTATAGCACCAGGTGAGTTTCCTTCAACGCTTAATGAAACACTAAAAAGGGGATTAGAATTTTGATTCTGGAAAGTTACAAACGTTATCAATGGTCCATTTGGATTTCAAATAAGATTTTGGAATTTAATTATAACAATTCCTGCCATGAAAAATGCATTGATTATATTGATGGATGAAAGTGGGAAGTTTGAACACTAGAAGGAACCGGAAAGAACTAAAAATTGCAACTAAAGGAGAACATTCGGATTTGATTTACTAATAATAATGAAGAACAGAGAATATTTTAATATTGGACATATTGATGGATATTTTTGAACAATGAATCCAGGAATTAATTTTAAGAATGTATGTCCTAAAAATACACTGTGCTTAAAAGATGCTATGAAAGAGGAATAGGTTTTATTTGACAAGACTGAGACTGATCTGAAAATGGATTTTAAAATGACAGGCTACAAAAATAATATGGGGAAAAGCTGTTATATTGGACATAAAAAGAAACCAGTTAGCCTTAATAATTAAAAGGGATACACGGGTAATTCTTGACTTACAAATATTTGTTTAGTGACTGAAAAGAACCCTAATGCCTTGCTTTTCCACAATGGAAGGGAACACACAGAATAATCCATTTAATTATTTAAAGGAGAAGGCATGACAGATCAACTGTGAGAGAATTAGGGGTTATGCCCTTTTAGGGCATTTTTGCCCCTCATTAATTAGAAACAACATTTTTAATGGTTCCCCAGTTCAGTGATTAAAAAGCAAGCAATCCAGCAGTTGAAAAGCTTTCACTTGGGTTGGACATTTTTCTAAGGGGTCCCACCTGTCCTGATGAGATATGACAACTCATCAACATTTGAGACTCTTCTTAAGTATTTTGTCTATTTCAACCCACAGTAAGAACGGCAGTGTGTCATTTGCTAGGTACATCCACTTGGATCTTATACAACTGATACCTATATAGCCTTGGACAGTGTGGAAGTATCTAAACAGAAGATGTATGGCTATTGAATATGGTGAGAAAATTGCAGTTGAAAGGTTTATGCACCACGCAGAGGGCTGAATTATGTGATCTCAATCAATTCTTCCCTCTCAATGGCTCTATGAAAATAAACTGAGCAGAGAAATGAATGCAAAGCTGCTTGATTTGAATAGCCTGTCTTTTCTAGGAAACGTGGGAAGGTAGCTTGTTTTATATTCAAGCCCAATTCAGTGTAAATGTACGGATGTGGAAAACTGGAAGATAACAGAACATGCTGCAGATAGTCCTCAACTTACAACTATTTGTTTTAAGGCCTGCCTTGAAGTTACAATGGCACTGAAAAAAGTGATTCACAAGTTACCATTGCCGCACCACCTCTGCAGTTACGCAATCAGGATTTGGGGTTTTGGCAACCAGCTCCCTTTTACAGCAGTAGCAGAGTCCTGGGGAGAATCACTTAATAATAATAATAATAATAATAATAATAATAATAATAATAATAATAATAATAGTAGTAGTAGTAATAATAGTAATAATAATAATAATAATAAAGTTGGAAGGGACCTTGGAGGTCATCTAGTCCAACCCGCTGCTCAAACCCTATACCATTTCAGACAAATGGCTGATCTGGATTTGTGATCTTTCCAGATGGCTTCCCACAAGCAAAAGCAATGGGGGAAGCCAGATTCACTTAACAACCGTTTGATTCACTTAACCCAGGGGTAGGCAACCTTGGCTCTTTTATGACTGGTGGACTTCAACTCCCAGAATTCCTGAGCCAGCCATGCTGAGGGAAAAGGGAGAGGTTTCCAAGCTGAGCCATGCTGGCTCAGGAATTCTGGGAGTTGAAGTCCACCAGTCATAAAAGAGCCAAGGTTGCCTACCCGACATAGCCACAGTTAAAAACAAAAGGTTGTTAGTCAAGGACTATTGTACACCCCTCAATAAATAATAAATCCTGGCCTTCCTAACAAATATTCGAGGGATTTCCCTCTTCCCTTCCTATCTCCTTGGCTGTGTCACTCTCTTGAGCCCCTTCGTTTTCTCTCGCTCTTCCCGATGATTTAATAAATAAAATAAATAATTTAATAAAATAATGCAATTCCGAAACCGACGGCCTCTTACCCGAATTCTCAACACTGTGAGGAAGATCTGGGAGTTTCATCCGTGCCCTGTTGGGTTCCTGGTATTCTGTCTCTCCTGAGAGGATGCGTTCATATCGGTTGGAGTGCCTGTTGGAGCCCATTGTGTTGTTGATGACAATAGTATCGTTCGGTGCAGAGAGGTGGACGGTGAGGTCATCATCAGAGATGCGCCGTTGAGCCTACAGAGCGAGGTTGTTGAGAAATACTTTAGATCAGAGGTCTCCAACCTTTGGGGCACCAGGGACAGGTTCTGTGGAGAGATTTTTCCACGGATCGGAGGGGGCGTGGTTTCACGTGGTGCCTGCATCCCATGGATGGGGCTTTGCTTGTTTGTGCAGGCCGGTTGCTGGCATGCCACGGCCCTGTACTGGTCCATGGACCGGAGGTTGGGGACCCCTGCTTTAGATTGTTAAGGTCAAGATGGCAGAGTTTCCATTCCCCACCACTGAAACACACCTATTCTACCAAATCCCAAAGGTGCAAATTCACTGCAGCAAGTTGTCCCTTTCTGTCAGTAACAAATGAAAACCCCACTCAAGCCAGCAGACCTCGGCTGAAGAAAAACAAAAAAGTAATTCTTTCAAACAGACGCAACTTTTTACAAAATCAGCCGGTCTCACCTTTCCTAAAATCTTTTGCCAATATTGACGCCAGAGAATGAGAAAGATGACAACCAGGAGAAGGAGGATGATGACCACCAGGCATCCAATCAAGATGGAGGTGTTGCTGCTGTCGTCCTTTGCGATTGGCTGGCCAGATTTCGCTTCGCCCTCAAGATCTGACAAGGGAAGAAATATAGAAAAAGAAGCTGAGAGGAACACATGACTATGTCTTTCTGGGGCTGGTAGTGGAGGAAGAATATTAGAGCCGTGTTCTCTCCAATTTGCAAGCGACTCACCTGCCTGGGTGAGGTTCGAGGTGACATCGGCCTTGTCACTGAGTGAGGAATCAAGAGCCGGAGAGATGGGAAGGTTACGGCCTGAAGGGTGAGGTGGGGCCACCATTGGGGGGTAGTGACTTGAAACAGGAAGAGAGGGGTCATCCACAACATCTGGACGGGTAGAAAACAGGAAGGGGAAGGGGAACAAGAGAAAAGAAGCTATCCATCAACCGAGGTGCAAAACCAGAAGGAAGACGTATCATACAGCAAAGCAGGAAGGCATTGGGTAAAAAGGGTGGACCGTTATCCATTTATGGAACGTTATATAACTGATGCCACAGTGGACCTGGGAAATTTAGTTGCAATTTCAGTGTGGGGAAATGATGATCAGCAGATCCAGAGGATATAGAGCAGTGTTTCTCAACCTTGGCAACTTTACGATGTGTGGACTTCAGCTCCCAGAATTCTCCAGCTAGCGTTGCTAGCTGGAGAATTTTGGGAGTTGAAGTCCACACATGTAAAGTTGCCAAGGTTGAGAAACACTGATATAAAGGACGATCATTTAACCCTTCCTCTCCTGCTTACAGTATTTGCTTGGCAAACCTCTTCCTGCTTCTTCTTTTTATGGAACAGCAGGCAATAAGAAGGGCGGATTTATAACCGATCAAAGAAAGCACCCCTTCACACAGCACATTGTCAAAACATGGAATTTGCTGCCACAAGCTATAGGGGTGGCCACCAGCTCAGACAGCTTTCCAAGGTGAACTGCAGGTCTTCATGGAGGACCATCACTGGGTGTCAATACAATGTTTTCTACTGTTTTCATACTTTTGGAACTGTAAGTCACCCAGAGTCATTCATTGAGATGGGCAGCTATAGAAATTGACTGACTGACTGACTGACTATCGATCTTGAAGAACCAAAGGCCCTTCTCCTGGCTTGGGAAAACAAAGATCAAAGACAGAAAGGTGCCTCCATCTTCTATTTGCAAGCACCCCAGAGGCATCTCTGGGCCCACTCGTGGGAACAAAGTCCTGGGTTCAACCAGCCAGGACTAGTCTTATGTTCTTGCAAGAGGAAGGTTGGGTTACTGGGGAAAGTTTGGTGATTAAGCAGCCTCCCTCCATCCCAAAGGCTGCCCATCCTGCTGTTCTTTAGCCTAGAGACGCAGCAGATGGGCTTCCCAGATCTGTAACAGATATCCAGAACATACAGAGGGAGAACAGATGGGAAAAGGAACGTTTGTAATAGTTATTTCTCAGGAGGTAAATTGGGGAAAAGGCCATGTCATCTCCTAACCATGCTCCCAGCCCTCCCAGGAGGCCAGCTGCAAAGTGGAGGCAGTTTGGAATAAATCCCAAAGAGTCTGGCTGCTGGGCGCAGCTGCAGAGCGTTGATTTCGTGCCCTTCCTTCAAGCACGGAAGGAATGCCCTGCTCTCTGGCATTGTCTTTTCTCCTTTTCTTCCAGGCAGGACAACAGCTGCAAATGGCTGGAACAAATGCAAAACTCTCCACAAAGAGAGCTTCTCCCTACTCAGAGCTTCTTCTCTTCCCCCTCTTATCAGTCCTTGAAAAAGACAATACTCCTCTAAGTGGAATCGTCTAGAACAGTGGTTCTCAACCTGTGGGTCGGGACCCCATTTGGGGTCGAACGACCATTTCACGGGGGTCGCCAAACAACGCAGTCCGCCATTTTGTTTCCCCTTTTCCTTAGCTGTGCTACTCCCTTTTATTCTATTGGCTTTTGAAAGCCAATAGAATAGACTCTCTTGAATAGAGTCTAATTCTATTGGCTTTCAAAAGCCAATAGGAATTGTCCAGGCTGTCTCTGCCCTGCTGAGCCCGCCAAAACTCCCATTCTGCAAACGGTGCTGCACCAGTTGAGTAGTCCCCGACTTATGACCGGTTGAGTAGTCCTCGACTTACGACCAGTTGGGGGTCGTGGCATTAAAAAGGTTGAGAACCACTGGTCTAGACTCTAGAAGAGGGGTCTTCAAACCTGGCAACTTTAAGACTCGTGGACTTCAACTTCCAGAATTCCTGAGCCAGCATGGCTCAGCTTGGAAACTCTCCCTTTCCTCTCAGCATGGCTGGCTCAGGAATTCTGGGAATTGAAGTCCATGAATCATAAAAGAGCCAAGGTTGCCTACCCCCGGTCCAGACTCTAGAAGGATATTTGCATTTTGAGTTCAATGACAATGAAACTTGAATTAGTTAAGTTTCCGGGATAGACAAAAATACAGTCTTGAAGCTAAGAGGCGATACAAAACTGCATTCTTCTGATCCAACCAAATTGTATAGGTAGTCCTTGATTTACAACCATGATCGGGACCAGAACTTCTGCTGTTAAGCAAGGCAGTAGTTAAGGGAGTGCACTAATTTTAAAACCTTTTTGGTCATTAAGCAAACCACTGTGGTCATTAAGTGAATAAAATGAATTACGTTGTTAAGCAAGTTTGGCTTTCCCCATTTGCTACTCAGAAGCTGATTGGAAAAACCGCAAATGGTGGTCACATGACCCAGAGACCATGCAGCTGTCATAAATGCTTCGGTTGCCGAGCGCCCAAATTTTGATGATGTTGACACTGCAATGATGATTAAGGGTGAAAATCAGCAGTAAGTCGCTTTTTCCAGTGCTGTTATCATCTCAAACAGTCACTAAACAAATGGTCATAAGCCGAGGACTACCAATATGCTCTCCAGAGCTTTCCAAAGTTTCAGATAAGGGTCTTTCTTTCCCCAAGAGCAGGGGTAAGTAACCTTGGCTCTTTTATGACTCGTGGACTTCAATTCCCAGAATTCCTCAGCCAGCATGGCTCAGCTTGGAAACCTCTCCCTTTCCCCTCAGCATGGCTGGCTCAGGAATTCTGGGAGTTGAAGTCCACGAGTCATAAAAGAGCCAAGGTTGCCTAGCCCTGCCCAAGAGGACACCTGAAATGCTTCCAAGACAAAATCATGGAGCGTTGAACCTAGGCCAGAGTTCCCCAATGTTTCTGGCTTTGTGGACCGGTGGGGATGATTCCACGTGAGCAGGAACCTGCCTGCCGCTCACGCAAATGGAACATGTGTGTGAGGGTGCGCATACGCTCTCTGGCTGTTTCCTCAGCCTACTTGCAATCTCCTCACAGCCTACGAATGGGCCCCGGCCCACAGGTCGGGGACCCCTGACCTAAACATCATATAACGTCATTTGCATCATAACAACAATTATGTCCGATCATTGAAGGCCTCGTTCTACCTTCCATCTTTGGGGCCTCGGCCTCAAGCCATCGCCCAGACCCGACTCACTTGAGAGAAAGGCAACTTCGCTGAAGAGCATCCACTCGCTGTCAAAGTAAAAATGGCACTGGACAAACAAGCCGATCCGGCCACCCAGGGGCACAGTGAAGTAGCGGGCACTGGGGTCCCCGACGTTCACCGAATACTGTTGGGAGACAGGGTCAGCCTCCCAAGCGGTGGCAAGGCTGTGCTTGAAGAGGCAGTCCACCTGATGGAAGACTCTCACGCCATGTGTGTACATATTGCTGCAGTGAACCTGGAGAGATTGAGGTGGAGGAGGAAAAAATGGGGAGGGGGACGGGGAGGGGGGCAGGATGATAGAAAAGAAAGACAACTCTGAAATAGGCTTGTTTTCTTCCCATGTTAACCTTCTAGAAGAATGAGATCCCCCCCTCCAAATGATTGGTAAGCGACCAGTCGTAAATTGAGGGCTATCAGTATTAGGAACATGTCTTTTAATTGGCCCAGCCCACTAATCCTACCACGTTCTTCATTGGGCCCTCTGCAGAAAAATGCTGTTACCTTCATATATGTGAAGGATCTGAGTTGGTCAAACTCAAATTCCATCTTGACGAAACCCTCAGGAAAAGACCGCCTACTCCAGCCTACGTAGTCATATCCAGGCCACACACGCAACTCTTTGGTTTGGGTGAAGTCATCCAGTCCCACCACTCCATCCGTCAACTGGCCAAGACCCCCAAAGTGTAACCTGCTTTAGAAAGGACCCCAAAGAACAAGAGGGAAAATAGGATGAGGAAAGGGAAGTCTAAGATCCCTCAAACCTATTAAGTACAGCACTAGTTCCATTAATTTTATGGCCTTCCGTGAAGGGTGGGTTTCTTTGAATTCTACATGGGAACTTCCGCTACACAGTGAAGTACAGCAGCAGCATTTAAACCAGGGGTCTTCAAACTTGGCCCTTTTATGACTTGTGGACTTCAACTCCCAGAATTCCTCAGCCAGCGTGCCTGGCTGAGGAATTCTGGGAGTTGAAGTCCACAAGTCATAAAAGGGCCAAGTTTGAAGACCCCTGGTTTAAACATATGCCCAAGTACACCATAGGGCAGGGGTGGAGAACCTTGACTCTTTTATGACTTGTGGACTTCAATTCCCAGAATTCCTGAGCCAGCCGGCTCAGGAACATTCTGGGAGTTGAAGTCCACAAGTCATACAAGAGCCAAATTCTCCACCCCTGCCATAGAGTAACCGAGCTAAGAATGTCCACATTCTACAATGTATAACAAGTGGGATCCAGAAGTGAGCATTCTTGGACAGGAGCTTCCTTCTTCTGGTAATCAAGTCCCCCCAGAAATAAGATCAGCATCTTCATTAATAGTTAGGAAGATGGGGTCCTTGGTGCTCTCTGAGCTTGCTTGTTTTCTTGCAGACGTTTCATAACCCAACTAGGTAACATCATCAGTGCTAGAACAGACTGAAGGGATTCCCTCCAAACATTGTTGGGGTTAACTAGTTGGATAATGAAATGTCTGAAAACAAACAATCAAGCTCGGAGAGCACCAAGGACCCCAAAATTCAACTCTGGGCTACAAATATTCTCTTTTATTGGTATTAGGGAATGTGCTGAAAACTCAGTTCTTTAGGTAGGTAATTAGATGCTGAAATATTCATGGCATAGATCTGTACCTTTGATGTAAGGGCTGCCCAATGGAAGTCAGTAAGTCTATTAAGATGGACTTGAACTATGGATATTTATTTGTATTTTTGTATAGCTATTTTTGGTTTAAGCATTTTGTGGGTCCCTGAGATTAACTTTGACTGAAGCAGCATAAAATCACTGACAAATACATTTTTAAAAATACATCAGAGTTTTCTTCTTTGGGTATGAATGCTAATCCAGATTTTCCCAGCCAAGAGTCTTTAAATATCTAAGATTAAAACTCTCTGAATGCTTAGCTGCCTGAAGGTTCAAAACCCTGAAAGCCTGACTGGAGGACACCAGAAGGGTTGACCCAACATGATCTTGCAAGCCAACAGAGTATGAAAATGTTGAATAACAAACATCGAATTCAACCCCAGTTGCTATGCTTGAAAGCCACTCAGGAGCCTCTTACTCACTCACTTGCTGACACTGGACCCGTCGTAAGTGGAGTCGTTCAGGTAGACTGGGTCCGGGACCAAAGGCATCACCTGACCTAAAGGGGCCGTATAGGATTGAAGGCCATCTGTGGAAGGACACAAGGCATTCAGAGGCAGATTTCCGGCTTGTTATACCATTAGATGCAAGTCTCAGGTGGGTAAAGGTTGATAATAGAATAACATAGTTGGAAGGGACTTTGGAAGTCTTCTAGTCCAGCCCCCTGCTCAACCATTATACCATTTCAGATAAATGGCTGTCCAATCTTAAAAACTTCCAATATTGGAACACCCACAACTTCTGGAGGCAAGTCATTCCACTGATTAATTGTCCCACTGATTAATTTCTCTTTAATTGTTCTAACAACGCATCAAGTTCTAAATATCTGTTCCCGTAGGCCAGGGGTAGGCAACCTTGGCTCTTTTATGACTCGTGGACTTCAACTCCCAGAATTCCTGAGCCAGCTATGCTGAGGGGAAAGGGAGAAGTTTCCAAGCTGAGCCATGCTGGCTCAGGAATTCTGGGAGTTGAAGTCCACGAGTCATAAAAGAGCCAAGGTTGCCTACCCCTGCCCTAGGGAGTCCATCATAAACTTTGAACGGTCTCTAAACGACTAGTCATAAATTGAGGACCACCTATCCTCACTCTGAATTGTGCTCTTTCTTCATGGAGCCTGCTTCTCGTTTTATTCTAGCATCCCCATGTAAAAGTTTGAATCGAGTCACCAGATGAACGCCCAGTCTCTCCAGTCCTAGCTTAACATTCTGACCAGTAGACCCTCCTTGTATGCATATAAATGAAAGACTTGGGTTCACACACGGAATCAGGCCTGCAAGGTATGCCAGACTTTCTATTTTAGGATAACAGAATACAGGCAGCCCTCAACTTACAACCCCAATTGAGCCCAAAATTTCTGTTGCTAACCGTGACAGTAGATAAAGTGAGTTTTGCCCCCATTTTATAACTTTTCTTGCCATAGTGGTTAAGTGAATCACTGCAATTGTTCAGTTAGGAATGGGGTTATTAAGTGAATCTGGCCATTGACTTTGCTTTAACCGAAGGTTGCAAAAGGGAATCACATGATCCTGGAACAATGCAGCCGTCATGAGTATGAACCAGCTGCCAAGCATAAAATGGGGTAAAAACCCACTTAACAAATATTATAATTTATAATAATAAAGTTGGAAGGGACCTTGGAGGTCATCTAGTCCAACCCCCTGCTCAGGCAGGAAACCCAACACCATTTCAGACAAATGGCTGTCCAGTTTCTTCTTTAAAACCTCCAGTGTTGGAGCATTCACCGCTTCTGGAGGCAGGTTGTTCCACTGGTTAATTGTTCTAACTGTCAGGAAGTTTCTCCTGAGTTCTAGGTTGCTTCTCTCCTTGATTATTTCACTTAGCAACGTAAATTTTGGGCTCAGTTGTGGTCGTAGGTTGAGGGCTACCTATATGGCTCCTTTGCACAGGCAATATTATGTGATTACAACCGCGATTGGGACCAGCATTTCCATTGCTAAGCAAGGCAGTTATTACACGAGTTGCATTTGATTTTATGACCTTTATTGCCGTGGTTGTTTAAGTCAATCACTGTAGTTAAGTCAATTATATGGTCACTAAGCGAATCCACTTTCCCCAGTTTACTTTGCTTATCGAAAGCCGGCTAGGTGGTTTGCAAATCCCGTGACCCTGGGATGCTGCAACCACTGTAAAATCCATGTCAGTTGCCAAGGGTCTGAATATTGAGCACATGGCCATGGGGATGCTGCAATGGTGGTTAAGTGCGAGGACTGGATGTAAGCCACTTTTTTCAGTGCCACTGTAACTCTCAACAGCTGCTAAACAAATGGTTGTTAAGTCGAGGACTATCTGTACACTGTGGCTCTCCTCTTCTCATTTTCAGTGTTAACAGTAAGAAAGCAGTCACTCTGGATTTCATTTACGTAATGGATGCCAGCCACACATTATCAGTGTGAGAATTTTGGACAAATGGCTGTCCAGTCTCTTCTTAAAAACTTCCAGTGTTGGAGCATTCACTGCTTCTGGAGGCAAGTAGTTCCACTGATTAATTGTTCTGTCAGGAAATTTCTCCTTAGTTCTAGGTTGCTTCTCTCCTTGATCAGTTTCCATCCATTGCTTCTTGTCCTGCCTTCAGCGCTTTGGAACATAGCTTGACTCCCTCTTCTTTGTGGCAGCCCCTGAGATACTGGAACACAGCTATCATGTCCCCCCTCATCCTTCTCTTCATTAAACTAGACATACCCAATTCCATCAACCTTTCCTTACATGTTTTAGCCTCCAGTTCCCTAAGCATCTTTGTTGCTCTTCTCTGTACTCTTTCTAGAGTCTCAACATCTTTTTTACATCGTGGTGACCAAAACTGGATGCAGTATTCCAAGTGTGGCCTAATTGATGATATAATTTATTTCATTTGAGCATACCGTGTTTTGAGGTCCAGGCTAGCGTGGTAAATGATGTGAACCCAGCAACATCTATTTTTAAAAAGCCAGGGGCAGGCACACTCTTTGCATCCAGCCTGAAAAAAAAAGGTGCTAAAATAACAAGCTACAATCACTCACCTTTCCAAACACAGCCATAGAGTTCCACTCGCAAGCAGACACTCATGACCCGGTCTGAACGGGGGTAGAAACGGACATAGCGGGCAATGATGGGAGGGCCCAGATCCTTTAACACCACGTCATCTGTGTTTTCATTGCCTGAAATCACCTAGGAGGAAAGGAAGAGTAAGGAGTAAAAGAGCGAAAGGAGGAATTGGGCCCAACAAGTCAACTTTGTCTGATCTGTTGATTAAGAGCAGTGTTACGGGTAGTCCTCAACTTACAACCACAAATGAGCCCGTAATGTCCATTGCTAAACAAGACATTTGTTATGTGAGTTCCCCCCCCTCCATTTATGTTCTTTTTTGTTGCAGTTGTTAAATGATTCACTGCAGTTGTTAAGTTAGTAACGTGGTTGTTAAGTGAATCTGGCTTCCCCACTGACTTTTCTTGTCAGGAAGTCGCAAAAAGTGATCACGTGACCCCGGGACACACACTGCACCCGTCATAAATATGAACCAGATGCCCAGCGGCTGAATTTTGATCATGTGACCATGAGGATGCTGGACGATCATCAATGGGGAAAAACGGTCATAAGTCACTTTTTTCAGTGTCGTTCTCACTTCAAACGGTCACTAAACAAATGGTTGCAAGTTAAAGAGCAACTCTACTCAACCTTGGCAACTTTAAGATGTCTCGACCACAACTCCCAGAATTCCCCAGCTGGCTATGCTGCCTGGGGGATTCTGGGAGTTGAAGTCCACATCTTAAAAAGTTGCCAAGGTTGAGAAACACTGGATTAGACACAGATGCAGTCTCCACAATATAACCCATCTCCATGTTATCCCACCTCAGAGAAGCTACAATGCTCCCTACTTACCTCATTTCCCCACCGGTCACGCCAAGGCATCCATTGGTGCCCATCCCGCTTGTAATGGAGCCGATAGGAGCGAGCAAATTCCTTGCCGTGACCACTTGCGTGGCGGCCCTGTGTCCCCACCAAGGTCAGGAAATGCAGTCGGCGCAGGTCTACCTCCAGGTATTCTGCATCATTGGGATAGACGGGTCTTTCAGGACACCAAGCTCCATCGCCATCACTCAGGGCCAGCCTAAAACAACAAGAAGTGAGGTGTGAGGTAAGCCTCCTGGATTGCTGCCTTATCACAGAACTCATTTTGTTTATTTTTATCCCGCTGTTATTATTTTTGTAAATAACTCAAGACAGCAAATATACACAATACTCATTTCTCCTATTTACTCCACAACAATCACCCTGTGAGGTGAGTTGGGCTGAGAGAGAGTGACTGACCCAAAGCCACCGAGCCAGGTTTCATGCCTGAGGCGGGACTAGAATTCACGTCTCCTGGTTTCTAGTCAGGTGCCTTATTTTAGTTTGATCCCAGTTTGAAATCAAGTACAATTCCAAGATCTGTTTGCATGTCTCATCCCCAGGGCAGATAGTCCCCATCCTATAATCTCTGCATTTTGGTTTGTTTTCCCAAAACCTTTGCGTGTTTTCAACCTGCTGGTTTGTCCAACCAGGGTCAAACCATCCATCCATCCATCCATTCATGGAGTCACAATGAAATGCATCCATACACACACGACTTTCCCTATCTCTGGTTTAAAGGAGATATACAATTACTGTACATATTAACCCAGTGTTTCTCAACCTCAACAGCTTTAAGATGTGTGGACTTCAGCTCCCAGAATTACCTAGCATTGGAAGGAGGGGGGGGATGTGGCTGGCTGGGGAATTCTGGGAGTTGAAGTCCACACATCTTAAAGTTGCTAAGTTTGAGAAACACTTGCACCAACCTAAGGAGTGGGGAGATATTTTTAAAATGGGTGGAGCAGGCTTAATAAGCATCCAGTTTATTTTGAATTTTGTTTTGGTCTTTCAGAGTGTTTGCCGTGAGCCTTCGGGGAGCAGGGGGAATGTTGATCCATGCATCATGATATTATTATGCAAATGACGTGACTTACTTGCCCTGGACATTGTGACACAACCTGAACTGCTTGTAGTCTGTCTTTTCTCAGTTACATCTACCTGATCCACCAGAGTGGGGAGGCAGGCTATGTTTCTGGACTCTCTCTCTTAAGGAGGTCCATCCAGTGGATCCTCTCTCCCGGTGGAACATTATCCCTGTAGAACTAAGATTGGCCCCCACTTGATAATTGTTTTGACATGGTTTGGCCAGCAGACCCGGAGACTCAAGGTAATATGAAGCCCATCAATATGGTTTGTTTCATTGTTATTGCCGGGAGCAGTTATTGGATTTTGTATTTGGGGTGTTTCTTCTGTAAGCTGTCGGGTTCACTGTAAGTTGAGTAGCCATATACACTTTCTTAATAAATAAGTAAAATTTCTGTAATTTACATAATTGTGTCTTTTGCCCAATGGGCATCCTGATGTACAAATAAACACATTAACATTCCTGTGGATTGTTATGGATACTGTTGGTATTAGCTAGTTCTCCCCAATCTGCAAATCTGATTTAAAAAGAAAACTTTTGTCGATTCCTTGTCATGTCTTGTGGTTTTCCTTTATAAATCTTGTGGTTTTCCTTTATAAATCGATTCGCACAATGGATACCTTTAAGCTAGTTTAAGTTTCATCAATGAAAACGAATCTGGCCCAGAAACTATATATCGGAAATCATAGGCTTCTATCCAGTTACTAATTTCTATAAATGCAACTAACAGATTACAACAGCAAGTTAAATCCCTCTTAGAGACACTATGCAGATCATTCAGCTACAGATATCTTTGTACTGAGCACCAATCCAACTTAAGGTTTTAAGTGTAAATAAATGCCAAGTTCCTAATCCCTAAGATATGGTACATTTGAATATGTGTACGTGCTGAATGGGAATTTCCAGTAGCCACTGGGAAGTTTCATCTTAACAGACAGAGAAAGTATGCATCAATAAACAAGTGTGTTTGAATTGATTACGTCATGCAAATTAAATAGCGGGATACCTTCCTCACCTGCTGTGTTTTGCAGCTGTTGAATCAGACCATGAACTCGAGGCCGAGAGAGCTTCATCTGGGATGGTCCGATCCTGCATGCCAAGCGCATACCGACACTTAGCTGTGGAAGGAAAAAACGTGAAAGGGCTGAAAAATACTCTCGGCAGTGAATGCAGACCTCCAGTTACACACCTACAGCCTATGGCCACAATTAGGGCCACAATTTCTGTTGCTAAGCAAGGCGGTTGTTACGTGAGTTGACTTTGCTCGTTGGAAGCCAGCTAGGAGGGTTGGAAATGGCAACCACACGACCCCCAGGATGCTGCAACCATTGTAAACACTTGTTGGCTGCCAAGTATTTGAATTTTTATCCCATGACCGTGGGGTGCTGCGATGGTTGTAAGTGCGAGGACCACTGGTCGTAAGTAACTTTTTTCAGTACCATTGTTAACTTCAGAGGATTGCTAAATGAACGGTTGGTTGTTAAGTTGAGGACTACCAGTATAGGAACCCGGTATGTTATTGGCTCAACTATGACCTAATCATGCAATGAATAACAGCCAGAAGAAAGTCAATGAAAACAATGACACGTGTTGGATGTATCTCATTTGTTGCTTGTAACAGGGTTTAAAGTCAGGCTAATATTACCAAGAGACATTTCTTGATAAATCTTGAACTAAAGAAGTTGCCAAGCTTGAAAAAACATTCCAGGTAGTCCTCGACTTACGACCACAATTGTTACTACAATTTCAGTCGCTAAGCATGGCGACTGGGAAGTCAATATAGGTAAGGTAGTCTTCAACTTACGACCACAACTGAGCCCAAAATTTCTCTTGCTAAGTGAAACATTAAGTGTTCAGTGAGTTTTGCTCCACTTTACGACTTTTCTTGCCACGGTGGTTAAATGAAGCACTGCTGTTGGTAAATTTGTAACACGGTTGTTAAGCAAAACTGGCTTCCCCATTCATTGACTTTGCTCGTCAGAAAGTCGCATGACCCCCCCCCCCGGGGACACTGCAACCGTCATAAATGAGTCAGTTGCCAAACATCTGAATTTTGATCACGTGACCCTGGGGGTGCTGCAACGGTCATAAGTGTGAAAAATGGTCGTACGTCATCTCTTTCAGAGATGATGTAACTTTGAATGGTCACTAAACGAACCATTGTAAGTCTAGGACTACCTGTAGTCCCCGGTTTTAGGACCTTTTTTTTTTTGCCACGATTGTTAAGAGAACCACTGCAGCTATTAAGTGATTCACACGATTGTTAAACAAATCCACTTTTCCCACTGACTTTATTCGTCGGACACCAGCACAAATGATGATCACTTGACCCCGGGGACGCTGCAACCATTGTAAATACATGCCCGGTTGCCAAGGGAACAAGTTTTGATCACGTGACTGTTTTAAGTGCGAGGCCCAGCCACAAGTCATGTTTTTAGTGCTGTAATTTTGAACGTCCACCAAACAAACGGTTGGAAGCAAGTCAAGGACTACTTGTAGTGCAATGGATTTAAAACTGAATAAAACAATATAATGGATTTAAATTGCAGGAAGACAGATTCCAACTGGACATTAGGAAAATGTTTGACAGTGAAACTGTTTCTCAGAGAGAAGTGTGGGCCCTTTTACCAGATGTGTTCAGAGAGAAGCAAAGCAGGCATCTGTCTGTCCTTGTATTTTTTTTTTAAGTATATTTGTTTTATTTTATATGTCTGGCACTATATTAACTCATATTCAAGGCCCAAGCAGAAAGTTAGATGCAGTCACCTAACTAACTGGTTCAAGGATTCTGATATTTCTGTATTTTCCATTAGGAGGCGCTCTAATTTCATATACAAGAAGAGGGAGGCCACCAATTGAGTGAGTTCCAACAGAAATTTGAATCGAAACATACAAACCCCGAAGATAATTGATTCAATAAACAACAACATGACTCAGAAATTAAATTGGATTCTTTCAAGATTCCCCTCTCCTGTCCAAAATGCTGGAAGCTTTTTGGAATTTGGCTCAAAAGGTAAATTGTTAAGAAAAGCACCTGAGGAAAAAAAACTAGAAAGAAATTGAAATTGTCTGGTGATAGCATTCAGTACTGAAGGAAAAATGAGGTTCTCTTGTCAAATATATTATTCACTGCTGGACTTTGCTCTCTTCGAGATGTGGACACAGCCATTGAATAGCACAGCTTTATAGAGAGATCAGAACATTCTTGTCTACGATTGCCCATTAGTCGTAACAACTAAGAGCAATTTATTTGCCCAGAAAAGAACTAAAATTCCTGTTTCCAGTCTTCCTATGGGCTTAAGAGGTTTTCTAGTCCGACCCCCTGCTCAAGCAGGAGACCCTATACCATTTCAGACAGGTGACTGTCCAGTCTCAAAAGCCTCCAGTGATGAAAAACCAACAACTTCCAAAGGCAAGCCATTCCACTGGTTAATTGTTCTCGCTGTTAGGAAATTTCTCCTTGGTTTTAGCTAGCTTCTCTCTTTGATTACTTGGATTATAGAGGGTTCTGCCTCTAAGATTGGGAACAGGACTCTCACTTCTTCTCTGCTGTAGTGATGTTCTGCCACTAAATAATAATGATAGTAATAATAGTAATAGTAATAATAAGAGGAGGAGGAGGAGGAGAAGAAGAAGAAGAAGTCGTAATAGTAGTAGTTGGAAGGGACCTTGGAGGTCATCTAGTCTAACCCCCTGCTCAAGCAGGAAACCCTACACCAGTGGTGGCAAATCTATGGCCCAGGTGCCAGAAGCAGCACTCAGAGACCTCTCTGTGGACACACACACCGTCTCCCCAGCCCCGCCTCCTCCCATGGCCCCCTCACCAGCAGCCCCCCCAGAGGAGAGTCGCCCCTGGGCGAGGCCCACGTGAAGCAGCGCAGCCAAGGACATGGTAGCCAGGCAGCGGGAACAAGACTCTGCTCTTGTGTCACGCGCAGATGATGCTGCGGGGCATGGGCAGAGGGTGTGGCCGCCATGGGCATGGGCAGAGGGTGTGGCCGCCATGGCGCTGCTGGTCTGCCTGGGTGATCTGTGGCGGGCCATGGAGGTGGTGGGTGACCCAGTGGGCAGGGCAGAGCGGGACAGTGGTGGGGGGGGGCGGTTTTTGGTCTCTAAAAGGTTCACCATCACTGCCCTACACCCAGAAAAATGGCTGTCCAGTCTCTTCTTTAAAACTTCCAGCGTTGAAGCATTCACAGCTTCTGGAGGCAGATTGTTCCACTGGTTAATTGTTAGTTGTCAGACTGAGAAAATAGCTCCCCCCCCCAAAAAAAAAAATCTCGGAGGAATGTGAAATATTCCAGACAGGGGGAGCTCTGGATCGAGATCAATTGACCATTTTGTTTCCACTTGACACATCAGGCCACAATATCGCTCAGTGTGTCCCCCGGATGGTTTATGGGAAAACAAACACCCCCACTGGCACCTCGCTTCCTTTCCCCTTCATGGAACTTTTAATGGGCTGTGGGTCATCTTCTAGGAGCCTGCAAAACTTTCTGTCACGGAACAGGCCATTCCAAGCCTTCTGGAACACTCAGGGCAACCTGTTCCAAGGTCAGACTGTTCTATGACGGAATGTTTTGAACGTTCCTGGGGTCTCTTATCTGGCCATCGATCCTATCGGTCCAGCTTAGCTTCAGCAAGGGATGTTGTCAGTTGTGTCTTCAGGCCCAGCATTCCAGAGGAGGAGGCACCTTCTGAGTTTTCATTTCCAGCTGAAAGGTCCTGATGTGGATCCAGAGCTGCTCTAAACAATCAACTGTAATGTTTATTTTGGTTACTCAGAGTCCTCTTCTTACAACAGTTTGTTTAGTGGTCTTTCAAAGTTACAATGGCACTGAAAAAAGCAATTTATGGCCGTTTTTCATATTTACGACCTTTGCGGCATCCCCGTGGTCATGTGATCAAAATTCAGACACTTGGCAACTGATTCATATTTACGACGGTTGCAGTGTCCCGGGGTCATAGGATCACCTTTTGTGACCTTCTCACAAGCAAAGTCAGCCGGGAAACCAGATTTACTTAGCAACCGCATTAGTAACGACTGCAGTAATTCTCGTTAACAACTGTGGCAAGAAAGGTCATAAAATGGGACAAAATTCACTTAACAGATGTCTCACTTAGCAACAGAAATTTGGGGCCCAATTGTGCTCGTAAATCATGGACTACCTGTATTAAGTACGTTTATATGGCTGCCCAATATAAATTGCCAGGTGACTCTGGCTGGCTGTTTTTTTTTAATTTTTAGTGTAAAACTACATGAGAAGTGACTGCGTTAGCTGTTATTTCATGAGGTAATTTTAATATAAATGAAATGGAAATCTTTTTTGTCCTGGGCACACCAACAAGCTACTCAAAGGCAAGGTGCTGCTTGCAACCTCTTCTCCCCAGTTGTAAATATGGCCTGGTTGCCTAGCGCCTGAAGTTTGTTCACATAATAGGGACAACTATTAGAATTTCAAATCCAGGTAGTAAATACCCCCCCCCCCGGTTGGTCCTTTGTGACTTCAAATTATTGCTAAGTGGCGGTTATAAATGGAGGACTATCCGTGTCTGTAATTACATTTTTTTATTCTATTTTTTCCTAGCAATTCTGACAAACCTATAGTTTCCAGATATAATCCTTGTTCATTTTGCTAGTTATGTCTGTCTTTACTCTGTCGCATTTTTATTTTTAATTCTTAATTACTTTATTATTTTTTATTATTATTAGATTTTATTCTCATCAACAACGGACTAATTTTCAAGCAGTTAGCTCAGTGTTTCTCAACCTCGACAATTTTAAGGCATGTGGACTTCAACTCCCAGAATTCCACAGCCAGCATTGCTGGCTGTGGAATTCTGGGAGTAGAAGTCCACATGCCTTAAAATTGTCAAGGTTGAGAAACACTGTAAATAAGCTGGAATCAGTGTGAAATATACTTATTTGATTTATATTTTGTCTTTCACTCAGGAGCTCACAGCAGCACATGGAGCTCTCCCTCCTTCTATTTTCCCTCACCTATGAGGGAAGCTGGACTGAAGTTCCTCTTCCTAACTTCCCAGTTTTGAAAAGTTCATCTTCTCCCAAACTGTGCAATGATGGGATGCACTAAAGCAGGGGTCTTCAAACTTGGCTCTTTTTATAACTTGTGGACTTCAACTCCCAGAATTCCTCACCCAGGCACGCTGGCTGAGGAATTCTGGGAATTGAAGTCCACAAGTCATAAAAAGGCCATGTTTGAAGACCCCTGCACTAAAGGCTCTTCTGGTTAATTTAGGCTCTGTGGATTTGGGGAATTTAATTCACCTGCTTCTCCTAGAACTGAAAAGAGAGTTGAATCCTGATGCCAGCCAGCTGTTTTGAACCGCTGCCCTTTTCTCTCTCAGCTTCTACTTCTTACCTGGATCAAAGTGCTCTTCCAACTCCGAGGCCCCTACAGAGATCAACAGCAAAAGGCAAAGCGTCCTGGGTCCCATCCTACCTCCGACCAGTGGACTGGTTACATCAATAACTGAGCTTTCATGCCTGTGAAAAAAGTTGAAGAAAGAGCAGTTAACAAAAAACAGTTACAGGAATTGGATAGATCTAATCCAGGGGTCTTCAAACCTGGCCCTTTTATGACTTGTGGACTTCAACTCCCAGAATTCCTCAGCCAGCATGCCTGGCTGAGGAATTCTGGGAGTTGAAGTCCACAAGTCATAAAAAGGCTCAAGTTTGAAGACCCCTGATCTAGTCTAATGAAAATAAGGACATGATAACAATGTTCCAATATTTGAGGGGCTCCTGCAAAGACGAGGGGGTTCAAACTGTTTTCCAAAGCACCAAAAGGTAGGATGAGCAACAATGGATGGAAACCAACCATGGAGAGAAGCAACCTAGAACTCTATTGTTTTATATTCATAAACTTATATGAGTCTTTTCCTCTATCACTCAAGCTTGATGGTGAGTGATTTCAACTTGACTTAGCGGCCTTATTCATTTCCTAGTTCAAGCCCTTTATTGGTTCTAATAAATACCAAGCGTTCCAGGCAAGGAAATCACTCACATGCTGCTATTGTCTTTATTTTCCTAGATTCCAGCCAGAAGGGACTGGAAGTGACACACCAGCAGCGTTATAACACAAAGAGGGCTACAAGCCAAATCTGTGGCTCCGCATACACTTTGCTTCTGGGAAAATCCACCCTGTAATAAAAGAGCTGGTCATGAGACGGATTAAAATATAACTTGGTTGTTTCAGTTAAATATTGGTGAAATAAGCTCAAGCTGAGTGAAACCATGATCTTATTTATTAGGAACGAAGCAGGCAGACTCCTGTTAATTACAGAGCACCTGCAATTTGTAGTTAGACAGGTAGTCCTCAACATATGACCACAGTTAAGACCAAAATTTCTGCTGCTAAGTGAGACAGTTGTTAAGTGAATTTTGCCCCATTTTGCGACCTTTCTTGCCACAGTTGTTAAGTAAATCACTGCAGTTGTTAGTCATACGGGTTGTTACATAAATCTGGCTTCCCCATTGACCTTGCTTGTCATAAGGTCACAAAAGGTGATCACAATGACCGCCGAGACATTGCAGCCATCATAAATATGAATCAGTTGCCATGCATCTGAATTTTGATCATGTGACCATGGGAACGCTGCTACGGTCATTAAGTGTGAGAAGTGGTCATAAGTCACTTTTTTCGGTGCCATTGTAACTTCAATCACTAAATGAACTGTTGTAAATCCGGTACTACCTGTACACAATCCACAACACCAATCCTAGATGGTGAAATTGCCTGTATTTCATTCAAATCACTCAAAAACATACCGTAAGAAATGTCTAATTCTGGATAGATCAAGGACTTCTCAGCCCATCCTGCAGCTGTCTCCTTTCAGAAGTTTCAAAGAAGCAAAGAAAGAAACATAGAAGAAGCAGACCTATTACTTGTCCCCAGTTCTGGTATACAAGGAGTCCTCAACTTACAACTGGTCACTTAACAACCCTTCAAAGTTACAACGAACTCAAAATTACCCACCCTCAAAGTTACAACTGCTGCACCGTAGTCATGCGATCACATTTTGCAACATTTATGGCTGTTTTTTCGCCAAAAAAATGCCCTTTGGGTAAAATGAGCCCACCCGTTACTAGGTGCCTCGCTTAACAAGCACACTGCAGTTGCTTATCGACTGTGGTGACTTATCTAATGAACATCATATAAATGGTCATAAAATTGAGTCTGATCACATGGTGTCTCCAATTACAACTGCAATGACTTATAACCAAAATTACAATCCCAATTGTAGACCTAAGTCAAAGACTTAGTGTTGACTCTGAATATGGAGGTTCAATTTACAAGGCACTGTTAGACATTTAAGTCGCCCAGCTCATCAGAATTACTGCCCGGCTACTACAGTGATGCAAGTGTCATCAATTATGACTCACAACTAAGAATAGAAATACAAACATATGCAATAGAGATAGTCAAGCTCTCCTCCCATGCTTTCTCTTTTCAATCTCCAAAATCAGCATTTTGTAAAGCAAGGAGAACTTCCAGAGCTGCAGCCTAATGTCCCCTTCTCCTGCAGATAAAATGCAGCTTAGGACAGCTTTTATTCTAGAATTATTTGATCAAAATTGTGCATGGTCACAAATGAGAATAAATCAACTGATCAACATTCCTATTTCATTGATTTATGGGTGGAACAATTGAAGCAGGGGTCTTCAAACTTGGCCCTTTTATGACTTGTGGACTTCAACTCCCAGAATTCCTTAGCCAGCCACGCGGGTTAGACAGCATCACCATCAGATGGATCCTTAGCCGGCTGACCGGCTGTACTCAGCGTGTGGTCCTCAACGGAACAGCATCTATATGGAGGGAAGTGTGTAGTGGGGTGCCCCAGGGCTCTGTTCTAGACCCAGTGCTCTTCAACATCTCCATCAACTATCTGGATGAAGGGATAGATGGGGAACTCATCAAATTTGCAGACGACACCAAGCTGGCAGGAATAGCCAACACTCCAGAAGACAGGCTTAGGATACAGGAGGACCTGGACAGACTTGAACATTGGGCGCTATCTAACAAAATGAAATTCAATGGTGAAAAAAGTAAGGTTCTACATTTAGGCAAGAAAAACCAAATGTACAGGTACAGTATAGGGGGTACCTTGCTCAATAGTAGTAACTGTGAGAGGGACCTCGGAGTCCTAGTGGACAATCACTTAAATATGAGCCAGCAGTGTGCTGCAGCTGCCAAAAAGGCCAACACAGTGCTAGGCTGCATTAACAGAGGGATAGAATCAAGATCACGTGAAGTATTACTACCACTCTTCAATGCCTTGGTAAGGCCACACTTGGAATACTGCATCCAGTTTTGGTCACCACCATGTAAAAAAGAGGCTGAGACTCTAGAAAGAGTACAGAGAAGAGCAACAAAGATGATTAGGGGACTGGAGGCTAAAGCATATCAGGAACGGTTGCTGGAATTGGGTATGTCTAGTTTAACGAAGAGAAGGACAAGGGGGGGACATGATAGCAGTGTTCCAATATTTCAGGGGCTGCCACAAAGAAGAGGGAGTCAAGCTATTCTCCAAAGCGCCTGAAGGCAGGACAAGAAGCAACGGGTGGAAACTGATCAAGGAGAGAAGCAACCTAGAACTAAGGAGAAACTTCCTGACATTTAGAACAATTAACCAGTGGAACAACCTGCCTCCAGAAGCAGTGAATGCTCCAACACTGGAAGTTTTTAAGAAGAGACTGGACAGCCATTTGTCCAAAATGGTATAGGGTTTCCTGCCTGAGCAGGGGGTTGGACTAGATGACCTCCAAGGTCCCTTCCAACTTTATCATTATTATTATTATTAAGTCGTAAAAGGGCCAAGTTTGAAGACCCCTGAATTAAAGCGAGATCAAGTGACACAACTTAAACCTTCACCTGAAACTTCTGCAACGCTTGGGATTTCTCTAATTTAACAACAACTACAGGTAGTCCTCAACTTACAACCACAATTGAGCCCAACATTTCTGTTGTTAAGCGAGACATTTGTTAAGCGAGTTTTGCCCAGTTTATGACCTTCCTTGCCACAGTTGTTAAGTGAATCACTGCAATTGATAAGTTAGTGACCTGGTTAAGTGAACCTTATCTTGTCAGCAGGTTGCAAAAGGTGATCGCTTGACCTTGGGACACAGCAATGGTCATAAGTATGAATCTGTTGCCAAGCATCTGAATTTTGATCACGAGATCATGGGGATGCTTCAAAGGTTGTAACTGTGAAAAATAGTGTCTATGGAGATTCTCAGTCATCCAGATTATGGTTGTCCCAAAGGTGCTTTTTCAAGAGGCAAACAGACTTTCTTGGTTTTCTCTGAAGACGTGTCGCTTCTCATCCAAGAAGCTTCTTCAGCTCATGAAAATGGAAATGTCAATTTTTTTAGTGTAACTTTGAACAGTCACTAAATGCACTGTTGTTAAGTCAAGAACTATCTATATTTCCTTGTGTAAAGTTTGGTTACAGAAAAAAAACTGGTACACTTTAAATGTGGGGGGGGCTGAGCACATGAGTGCATGTGACTAGAATGAAGTGTGAGTATTATGGTGGCCCACATGGCCCAAATCGGTTTCAAACATTCACTGAGGAAATGACATTGCCTGAGCATCTGTATTCCCGTTTAGGATTTTCTCACATGGATGTAAGAGCCATCTACTCCTCAGTGGAAAATCCTTCCTCATGATTGCAACAGCTGAAGAACAGATGGGGAATGGGTGATCCAGATTAGGGACATCGCAGTTAAGCAAAGGGGAAAAGTCGGCCTAGGCGCTTTCAAGTCAGTGTCTGTTTCTCCTCTATTCTTTGTTTCAGCAAACTTCAGCAAGGTCCCTGTGAGAGGTCAGCTCACCCAGATCAACCACAGTCCTTTACAGTCTTTGGAAATCCATTCACATTATCCCCAAATATACTGAAAATGAGTGTAACAGATTAACAGAGTTGGAAGGGACCTTGGAGGTCTTCTAGTCCAACCCCCCCCCCAAGCAGGAAGCCCTATACCAGTGGTTCTCAACCTGTGGGTCGGGACCCCATTTGGGGTCGAACGACCATTTCACGGGGGTCACTAAACAACACAGTCCGCCATTTTTTTCCCCTTTTCCTTAGCTGTGCTACTCCCTTTTATTCTATTGGCTTTTGAATAAATTCTATTCAATTGGCTTTCAAAAGCCAATAGGAATTGTCCAGGCTGTCTCTGCCCTGCTGAGCCCGCCAAAAGTCCCATTCTGCAAACGGTGCTGCATCAGTTGAGTAGTCCTCGTCTTACGACCGGTTGGGGGTCGCGGCGTTAAAAAGGTTGAGAACCACTGCCCTATAGCATTTCAGACAAATGATTGTGAAAATCTCTTCTTGAACACCTCCAGTGATGGAGCACCCACAATTTCTGGAGGCAAGCTGTTCTACTGATTAATTGTTCAAATTGTCAGGAAATTTCTCCTTAGTTCTAGGTTGATTAGTTTCCATCCATTGCGTGAGAGGAAAACATCTGCAATATGGCTGGCCTGTCTGTCTCTGTCTCTCTGTCTCCCTCCCTCCCTCCCCCTCTCTCTCTCCGCCCTCTCTCCCCCTCTCCCTCTCTCCAATCCACCTCACAGGGTTGTTGTTGTGAGGTAAGTAGGACAAGGAAGGAATACAGGTGGTTCTCGACTTACAACCATTTGTTTAGCAACTGTCTGAAGTTACAATGGCGGTTTCTGAGGTTATAGTTTGTTTTTTAAAAAATCTATAGCATTTTTTTTAAAAAAAGTTTTATTAATTTTTCAATTTTACAAAGCTCCAGGTATTAAGGAAGCAACATGGTGATTGGGTAATCCATAGTCCAATAACAAGCTCTTTCATACATATGTCAGGTTACATCATCAAAGATTTCCTCTCTGTTTCCCTTGATTATTATATCACATTCAAATTAATACATTGCTAGTTATAACTCAATCGGTTAAAACATTTATCAATATCTTTTGACTTATACACCTCCATATCCTGTTTTTAACTTTTATCTAATTTGTTACAGTATTCCAGTTAGCTTAATATCCATAGTATTTAGATTTCAGATAGCCCACGGTTCCCTTAGTTCATTGCAAAGTAGTTATCATGTCTAAGATACACTTATTATTTACTCAGATAAATTCTTACTTTATTTCACAATCATATTCTATTTCTCTCCTAATATCATCACTTATTAATAGTCTCAATCCATCTTCTGTATTATGATTCAAAACTACTGTATTATTCTAGTAGCTAGTTTTTATTTCCCTCGTAGGTCTAAATCCTAAATATTAAATCAGTTAATGTCTTTTAAAATCTCCTTAGCCCATTAAATGAGATTTTAGGCTCTTCCATTAAAGGTCACATAAAGAAATCCCATTTTTAAGTCTAACTCTGGCTTTCCTTTTGTGCCA